ACAAGTGAGTTTCCACAATGTGGAGTCACAGAGGTACATTTCGGACTCCTTACCTCTTCCGGTTCCCAAATTAGGTCCATTTGATGTTCCTCCCTTGGATTGAGACCGTTTCACTCATGTTTGTCCTCATAGTCATGTGTAGAACCTATTAATCCATGTTTGGGTAAGTATGGGTCCATCTAGTTCATCTTATACACTACAAGTGAGTTTCCACAATGTGGAGTCACAGAGGTACATTTCGGACTCCTTACCTCTTCCGGTTCCCAAATTAGGTCCATTTGATGTTCCTCCCTTGGATTGAGACCGTTTCACTCATGTTTGTCCTCATAGTCATGTGTAGAACCTATTAATCCATGTTTGGGTAAGTATGGGTCCATCTAGTTCATCTTATACACTACAAGTGAGTTTCCACAATGTGGAGTCACAGAGGTACATTTCGGACTCCTTACCTCTTCCGGTTCCCAAATTAGGTCCATTTGATGTTCCTCCCTTGGATTGAGACCGTTTCACTCATGTTTGTCCTCATAGTCATGTGTAGAACCTATTAATCCATGTTTGGGTAAGTATGGGTCCATCTAGTTCATCTTATACACTACAAGTGAGTTTCCACAATGTGGAGTCACAGAGGTACATTTCGGACTCCTTACCTCTTCCGGTTCCCAAATTAGGTCCATTTGATGTTCCTCCCTTGGATTGAGACCGTTTCACTCATGTTTGTCCTCATAGTCATGTGTAGAACCTATTAATCCATGTTTGGGTAAGTATGGGTCCATCTAGTTCATCTTATACACTACAAGTGAGTTTCCACAATGTGGAGTCACAGAGGTACATTTCGGACTCCTTACCTCTTCCGGTTCCCAAATTAGGTCCATTTGATGTTCCTCCCTTGGATTGAGACCGTTTCACTCATGTTTGTCCTCATAGTCATGTGTAGAACCTATTAATCCATGTTTGGGTAAGTATGGGTCCATCTAGTTCATCTTATACACTACAAGTGAGTTTCCACAATGTGGAGTCACAGAGGTACATTTCGGACTCCTTACCTCTTCCGGTTCCCAAATTAGGTCCATTTGATGTTCCTCCCTTGGATTGAGACCGTTTCACTCATGTTTGTCCTCATAGTCATGTGTAGAACCTATTAATCCATGTTTGGGTAAGTATGGGTCCATCTAGTTCATCTTATACACTACAAGTGAGTTTCCACAATGTGGAGTCACAGAGGTACATTTCGGACTCCTTACCTCTTCCGGTTCCCAAATTAGGTCCATTTGATGTTCCTCCCTTGGATTGAGACCGTTTCACTCATGTTTGTCCTCATAGTCATGTGTAGAACCTATTAATCCATGTTTGGGTAAGTATGGGTCCATCTAGTTCATCTTATACACTACAAGTGAGTTTCCACAATGTGGAGTCACAGAGGTACATTTCGGACTCCTTACCTCTTCCGGTTCCCAAATTAGGTCCATTTGATGTTCCTCCCTTGGATTGAGACCGTTTCACTCATGTTTGTCCTCATAGTCATGTGTAGAACCTATTAATCCATGTTTGGGTAAGTATGGGTCCATCTAGTTCATCTTATACACTACAAGTGAGTTTCCACAATGTGGAGTCACAGAGGTACATTTCGGACTCCTTACCTCTTCCGGTTCCCAAATTAGGTCCATTTGATGTTCCTCCCTTGGATTGAGACCGTTTCACTCATGTTTGTCCTCATAGTCATGTGTAGAACCTATTAATCCATGTTTGGGTAAGTATGGGTCCATCTAGTTCATCTTATACACTACAAGTGAGTTTCCACAATGTGGAGTCACAGAGGTACATTTCGGACTCCTTACCTCTTCCGGTTCCCAAATTAGGTCCATTTGATGTTCCTCCCTTGGATTGAGACCGTTTCACTCATGTTTGTCCTCATAGTCATGTGTAGAACCTATTAATCCATGTTTGGGTAAGTATGGGTCCATCTAGTTCATCTTATACACTACAAGTGAGTTTCCACAATGTGGAGTCACAGAGGTACATTTCGGACTCCTTACCTCTTCCGGTTCCCAAATTAGGTCCATTTGATGTTCCTCCCTTGGATTGAGACCGTTTCACTCATGTTTGTCCTCATAGTCATGTGTAGAACCTATTAATCCATGTTTGGGTAAGTATGGGTCCATCTAGTTCATCTTATACACTACAAGTGAGTTTCCACAATGTGGAGTCACAGAGGTACATTTCGGACTCCTTACCTCTTCCGGTTCCCAAATTAGGTCCATTTGATGTTCCTCCCTTGGATTGAGACCGTTTCACTCATGTTTGTCCTCATAGTCATGTGTAGAACCTATTAATCCATGTTTGGGTAAGTATGGGTCCATCTAGTTCATCTTATACACTACAAGTGAGTTTCCACAATGTGGAGTCACAGAGGTACATTTCGGACTCCTTACCTCTTCCGGTTCCCAAATTAGGTCCATTTGATGTTCCTCCCTTGGATTGAGACCGTTTCACTCATGTTTGTCCTCATAGTCATGTGTAGAACCTATTAATCCATGTTTGGGTAAGTATGGGTCCATCTAGTTCATCTTATACACTACAAGTGAGTTTCCACAATGTGGAGTCACAGAGGTACATTTCGGACTCCTTACCTCTTCCGGTTCCCAAATTAGGTCCATTTGATGTTCCTCCCTTGGATTGAGACCGTTTCACTCATGTTTGTCCTCATAGTCATGTGTAGAACCTATTAATCCATGTTTGGGTAAGTATGGGTCCATCTAGTTCATCTTATACACTACAAGTGAGTTTCCACAATGTGGAGTCACAGAGGTACATTTCGGACTCCTTACCTCTTCCGGTTCCCAAATTAGGTCCATTTGATGTTCCTCCCTTGGATTGAGACCGTTTCACTCATGTTTGTCCTCATAGTCATGTGTAGAACCTATTAATCCATGTTTGGTAAGTATGGGTCCATCTAGTTCATCTTATACACTACAAGTGAGTTTCCACAATGTGGAGTCACAGAGGTACATTTCGGACTCCTTACCTCTTCCGGTTCCCAAATTAGGTCCATTTGATGTTCCTCCCTTGGATTGAGACCGTTTCACTCATGTTTGTCCTCATAGTCATGTGTAGAACCTATTAATCCATGTTTGGGTAAGTATGGGTCCATCTAGTTCATCTTATACACTACAAGTGAGTTTCCACAATGTGGAGTCACAGAGGTACATTTCGGACTCCTTACCTCTTCCGGTTCCCAAATTAGGTCCATTTGATGTTCCTCCCTTGGATTGAGACCGTTTCACTCATGTTTGTCCTCATAGTCATGTGTAGAACCTATTAATCCATGTTTGGGTAAGTATGGGTCCATCTAGTTCATCTTATACACTACAAGTGAGTTTCCACAATGTGGAGTCACAGAGGTACATTTCGGACTCCTTACCTCTTCCGGTTCCCAAATTAGGTCCATTTGATGTTCCTCCCTTGGATTGAGACCGTTTCACTCATGTTTGTCCTCATAGTCATGTGTAGAACCTATTAATCCATGTTTGGGTAAGTATGGGTCCATCTAGTTCATCTTATACACTACAAGTGAGTTTCCACAATGTGGAGTCACAGAGGTACATTTCGGACTCCTTACCTCTTCCGGTTCCCAAATTAGGTCCATTTGATGTTCCTCCCTTGGATTGAGACCGTTTCACTCATGTTTGTCCTCATAGTCATGTGTAGAACCTATTAATCCATGTTTGGGTAAGTATGGGTCCATCTAGTTCATCTTATACACTACAAGTGAGTTTCCACAATGTGGAGTCACAGAGGTACATTTCGGACTCCTTACCTCTTCCGGTTCCCAAATTAGGTCCATTTGATGTTCCTCCCTTGGATTGAGACCGTTTCACTCATGTTTGTCCTCATAGTCATGTGTAGAACCTATTAATCCATGTTTGGGTAAGTATGGGTCCATCTAGTTCATCTTATACACTACAAGTGAGTTTCCACAATGTGGAGTCACAGAGGTACATTTCGGACTCCTTACCTCTTCCGGTTCCCAAATTAGGTCCATTTGATGTTCCTCCCTTGGATTGAGACCGTTTCACTCATGTTTGTCCTCATAGTCATGTGTAGAACCTATTAATCCATGTTTGGGTAAGTATGGGTCCATCTAGTTCATCTTATACACTACAAGTGAGTTTCCACAATGTGGAGTCACAGAGGTACATTTCGGACTCCTTACCTCTTCCGGTTCCCAAATTAGGTCCATTTGATGTTCCTCCCTTGGATTGAGACCGTTTCACTCATGTTTGTCCTCATAGTCATGTGTAGAACCTATTAATCCATGTTTGGGTAAGTATGGGTCCATCTAGTTCATCTTATACACTACAAGTGAGTTTCCACAATGTGGAGTCACAGAGGTACATTTCGGACTCCTTACCTCTTCCGGTTCCCAAATTAGGTCCATTTGATGTTCCTCCCTTGGATTGAGACCGTTTCACTCATGTTTGTCCTCATAGTCATGTGTAGAACCTATTAATCCATGTTTGGGTAAGTATGGGTCCATCTAGTTCATCTTATACACTACAAGTGAGTTTCCACAATGTGGAGTCACAGAGGTACATTTCGGACTCCTTACCTCTTCCGGTTCCCAAATTAGGTCCATTTGATGTTCCTCCCTTGGATTGAGACCGTTTCACTCATGTTTGTCCTCATAGTCATGTGTAGAACCTATTAATCCATGTTTGGGTAAGTATGGGTCCATCTAGTTCATCTTATACACTACAAGTGAGTTTCCACAATGTGGAGTCACAGAGGTACATTTCGGACTCCTTACCTCTTCCGGTTCCCAAATTAGGTCCATTTGATGTTCCTCCCTTGGATTGAGACCGTTTCACTCATGTTTGTCCTCATAGTCATGTGTAGAACCTATTAATCCATGTTTGGAACGTATTAAAACCATAGGATTTGCACTTCAAGCCGCTCCATGCACAAGCATCAACTTTAAGAGGGCCCAGAAAAAGATCTACTCAATGGATTTCATCAAGACCAGTTCCCTGCGTGCTCTGATTGAGTTAACTTTCCAACGCAACTGGAACGGCCTAATTTGGATGAGTAGAAAAGGAGTTACAACCAAAAGAGTGAAGACTGGTCCAGACGGCTCTATCGAGAACAGCGCCCAAACCGCGCAGTCCGGCTGGCCGAGAAACGATTGTTTCACGCTCGGCCAAACCATCGTCCGTCCTGAAGTCTCGGCCAAAGTTCAAACCATCCGGCCGATCACAGCACGACCCGGGAAACATTGTCCCGCGGTCGGCCAGCCACGACCACTCCACGCCATGCCGCGCACGACCATGCCGCGCGAGCCGGGAAGCAAGGCCTCGCGGCCGCGCAACCTTCTCGTACCACGGCCGATGCGCCGTCCGAGCCGGGAAGACGTCCCACGTCCGGCCGAGAAACATCGGCCAAACCTTCACCCGCCGACACAACGGCCGACCACAAATCCGTCCAGCCAGGACCGTCCGACGATCCGACCACGCCACAACCGATTTGGCCGATCGTCCCGACCGACCGTCCCAACGCCGCGGTCGACCCAAAGCCCGTTTTGAAGCCCGATTTCATATTTTCAAGGCCCGGCTTAACCCTAAGCCGCCTCTAAAGACCTAGCACTATATATATAGCTTTTTAGCCTCTTGTGAAAGAGAGCCGCCCTTGTATCACGATTTCATACTTTGAGTTTTATTGCAATCATGTTTTCTTCATCTTTTTTTCTTTGATTATGTCTGAGTAATTCACTAGTTAGGTTGTGAGATCTATCAAAGAGTTCATGGTTTGATAGGTTGTTAGAAATCGCCTAGGGTTTACTATATCGCATCTTCATCTCTGCTTGAATTCATTGCTGCTTGCTTTTCTGATCAACTAGCATCAGATCTTAGGTTTCATATACTCTCCAAAAGCTTGCTATATAACCTGAACTAAGTATTTGGTGAGCAAAACTTCATAGACTGCGAAAGTTGATCTATGCGGGGTTGTGAACAATTGGGTCTTGAACGAACTATTGCTTGATTTAATCACCTAGGGACATACCAAAAGTTTAGCGACTAGGTAGATTAACAAAGGGGTCGGAGCCTCGACAGTGGAAAGATCATACAATCGTGACCTGAGTTCTAGATAGCGCAAACCCTAGCGAACCCTTCTAATATCTTGTTAACCTTGAATCTCTGCGAGTTTCTCATTGCCTAGCGTTTCCCTTATTGATTTTCATAAACCGTTTAATCTGCTGTTTGATTTACTTGTTACACAATCAAAACCCTAAATCATACTTGTTTTCTAGCTATATTAGACTTGCAATACTCGAAGTGTACTTATCTGCTCCTTGTGTTCGATACCCGTTTACTACTTCTGACCTGTGCACTTGCAGAATCAGGGATAGGAAAAGGGAAGACCTGATCCCGCGATCAAGTTTTTGGCGCCGTTGCCGGGGAGCAATACAGCTACCTTCGAGTTCCCAACTATAGTCTAGCCTAGAATTTCGTTTTTCCTTTTTGTTTTTGCAAATTTTCAACTTTTGTTTTTCCTTTTTACTGTTTTCTATTTAAAGAATCTTGCCTCTACCCCTTTCAGGTACTAAGCTTGAAGGAAGACTCTAACATGAGTGATTCAGACGATCAAGAGGATAGAGATAACTTGGCCGCGAGAGAGATCGCGCTGGCCGAGCAACGAAGACCCGCCGGATCCGAACGCCGCGCACGATCGCGCCAATGATGGAGTGCCGAGAGATGGAGCACGAACAATGAAGAAGTCATGGGAGACTTCGATTCCAATCCAACACTACTAATCAATCGGAATCCCATCCAGCCGCCACTTCCTGAAGGAAGAAGCTATGAGATTTCGCCGGAGATCATTGGTTTGGTGAAACAAAACCAGTTCCAAGGAAAACCCCAGGAGAATCCTTTGGAACATATTGATGCTTTTGAAGAAATCTGTGGGACCATCAGTGCAGGAGGTGCGCCCAAGGAGTACTTAAAGTGCAAACTATTCTCTTTCACTTTGACAGGGAAGGCTTTGCGCTGGGTTAAGTCTCTTCCAGCTCAATCCATAACCACATGGAAAGAGTACAAGGTGGCATTCCTAGGTCACTTTTTCACAAAGCAAAGAGCAAACTTGTTGAGAGAAAAGATCTCTAGTTTCCAACAAGGGCCGGTGGAGCCTTTTCATGAAGCATTGGAGCGCTTCAAGGACTATACAAGAGAGTGTCCTAATCATGGGCTATCTGATGGCAGTCTATGGAACATTTTCTACAGAGGAATAAGTGGGAAGTGTCGATTTTCTCTTGATACAGCCAGCAATGGAAATTTCATGACCAAGACAGTTACTGAAGCAAAGATTTTGATTGAAATCTAGCCTCAAGCGACAGTGACAACTTCATTGGGCATGAGAGAGCAGTGAAGGCCATAAATTCTGATCCATACAGAGATGGATACAGAGATCAAAGCCATGATGGCTGAGATACTGAGAAACCAAGGAAGAGAAGTGGAGAGACAAAGAGAAGCTTATAGAGTTGAATCCACAATAATTCAAGATTACTTTGGAGATTTGATTCCAAGTTTCCAAGAAGAAGTAAACTTTGTTGGAATAGATGGATTGGCACATGGAGAAGAAGCTTGGAAAGGGAGAGCATGATGTTTTTACAACAAGAATCACCCAATGAGAAGAGGGATGTTCATGAGGAAGAAATTATCAGCAACCACCTCACAAGAGAAGAATGGAGCCAAGGAGCAACTTTGAAGATTTGATAACTTTCATCAAGAGTTCTCATAGAGAGCACACGCCTTGATTGATGAGAGATTGGAGTCAGCCTTCACGAGATTGAATGAGAAGTTGGATTCTATTTCTTCTTTCACAAGAGACTTGGATCTTAGAGTTGCCAACATAGCCAGCTCTATTAAGAGAGAAGAAGGTATGCTACCAGGAAAAGTGGAAATCAATCCAAGGAGAGCAGCTGTAGCAGCTATCACTCTTAGGAATGGAAAAGGGTATGAGCCGCCAGCATACCCAGATCAAGAGGAAGCAAAGCCGCCAACAAGAAGAAACCAATGGAGTATGTATCATTGGAGATGGACTGAACCACCTAAGGAAGTCCATGTCAGAATAGAACCAGGAACTCAGGAGGAAGTGGAGAAGCCACCTGAAGAACCAAGAGTGTATGAGCCAAAGATCCCATACAGAAATGTTCTTTCTCAACCCAAGAAGGAGAAGGAGCAAGCAAAGCTCAAGGATCTTGTTAGCCAACTTTCAGTAAGGTTACCTTTCATTGATGCTTGCCAAATAATTCCATCTCTCAGGAAGTATATGAAGGCCATACTCACAAGCAATGTGAGTCTTGAAGAAGGAGCAATGATGATTACAAAGGAGTGTAGTGCCATACTTCAGAATCGCATGCCAGAGAAGCTGAACGACCCAGGAAGTTTTGTTTTGTCTTGCAAGATCGGTTCTACACACTTCCATAGAGCACTTTGTGATTTGGGTTCTAGTGTGAACTTAATGCCTTACTCAGTGGCCAAGCTATTGGGCATCACTGACTTCAAACCTACAAAGATATCTCTAGTCTTTGCAGACAGATCTGTTCGCCGCCCTGTTGGTGTTATTATGGATGTTCCAATCATGGTTGGAGATTGCTACATTCCCTGCTGATTTTGTAGTTCTTGAGCTGGAACACCAACCTAAAGACCCTCTTATCTTGGGAAGGCCATTCCTAGCTACTGCAGGAGCTATAATAGATGTCAAGAATGGAAAGATTGACTTGCATCTTGGAGATATAGTGATGAATTTCGAAGGTAAACAAGTCCATGGAGAAACCAACTGTAGATGGTCAAGCTTTTTGGATTGGAGAGCTCGCAGAGACAAGAGAAGAAGTGCTGGATGAACTCCTTCTTATTGATCCCTTGGAGCTAGCTTTGACAAAAGCTGAGAATGAGTATGGATACATGGAAAGAGAAGCTCAATGCTTAGTCAAGTTCATGGATTCAAGGAAGCTTATAAAGAGCTGATAGCTTATATGGACTTAGAGAGAGAAGAGAAGAGCCAGACATTGACAAGATCAGGAAAGTATCACAAACCAAGTTAAGTTCGACCCATGGTGCCCACTTAGAGCTCCAAAAGCCGAGCTCAAACAACTCCCAGTTGGTCTAAGGTATGAATATCTTGGTCCTAATGAAACATATCCTGTTATTGTTAATGCTGCACTAACAAAAGAAGAGACCGCTTTACTTGTTCGCGAACTGAGAAAGCATAGAAAGGCTCTTGGTTACTCTTTGGATGATTTAACAGGAATCTCACCTGAACTATGCACACATCGCATCATCCTGGAGGATGAGTCTAGTTCTTCATTGAACATCAAAGGAGGCTAAACCCAAACCTAAAGGAAGTTGTCAAGAAGGAGATAATGAAGCTATTGAAGGCTGGAGTGATTTATCCAATATCAGATAGTGCATGGGTCAGCCCTGTACATGTCGTGCCAAAGAAAGGAGGGATCACAGTCATCAAGAATGAACATGATGAGCTCATTCCAACAAGAACAATCACAGGACACAGAATGTGTGTCGACTACAGGAAGCTGAACTCCTCCACGCGCAAGGACCACTACCCCTTGCCATTCATAGACCAGATGCTTGAGCGCCTTGCCAATCATCAATACTACTGTTTCTTGGATGGATACTCAGGATTTTTCCAAATTCCAATCCACCCAGATGATCAGGAGAAGACTACCTTCACTTGTCCCTATGGCACATATGCTTATAGGAGAATGCCTTTTGGATTGTGCAATGCTCCAGCTACATTCCAAAGGTGTATGATGTCCATATTCACAGATCTAATAGAAGAGATTATGGAGGTTTTCATGGATGATTTCTCAGTATATGGTTCTTCCTTTGAATCATGTTTGGGGAATCTTGGAAGAGTGCTACAGAGATGTGAAGACAAGCACCTAGTTCTAAATTGGGAGAAGTGCCACTTTATGGTTAGAGATGGAATAGTGCTTGGACATAGAATCTCAGAGAGAGGCATAGAAGTTGATAAGGCCAAGATTGAAGTATGACAAACCTTCAGCCGCCCAAGACAGTCAAAGATATCAGAAGCTTCCTAGGACATGCTGGATTCTACAGGAGGTTCATTAAAGATTTCTCAGATAGCAAGGCCGCTAACACGCCTATTATGCAAGGATATTAACTTTGAGTTCACAGAGGAGTGTCACAAGGCTTTCACTAAGATCAAAGATGCATTGGTCAGTGCGCCAGTGGTTCAACCTCCAAACTGGGAACTACCTTTTGAGATAATGTGTGATGCAAGTGATTATGCAGTAGGAGCAGTGCTTGGGCAAAGAAAGGACAAGAAGCTACATGTGATCTATTATGCCAGCAGAACACTTGATGAGGCACAATGCAAGTATGCCACAACAGAAAAGGAGCTTCTAGCTATTGTCTTTGCATTTGAGAAGTTTCGATCATACTTGGTGGGATCGAAAGTTATAGTTCATTGATCATGCAGCATTAAGGTATCTTATCTAAGAAAGATGCCAAACCAAGATTGCTGAGATGGATACTACTATTGCAAGAATTTGATCTTGAGATCAAGGATAGAAGAGGAGCAGATAATGGAGTAGCTGATCACCTTTCAAGGATGAGAGTTGAAGAAAACTACCTCTTGATGATAGGCTACCTGAAGAAACAGTTTATGCAGCTGAAGCAAGCAATAAGCATGGACAACTAGCCATCACAGGCCAGGAACAAAGATCTCATCATCAAACACACCATGGTTTCGCCACATAGCAAACTTCCTTGCAGCTGAATACCCACCACCAAACTTCTTTGGCTACAGAAAGAAGAAGTTCCGTGATGTAAGAAGGTACTACTGGGATGAACCTTACTTATACAAGAAATGTTCAGATGGAATGTTTAGAAGATGCATACCTGAGGAAGAGGTAGAAGGAATATTGTTTGCTTGTCATAGTTCTAGCTATGCAGGCCACTTTGCCACTTACAAGACAGTATCCAAGGTCCTACAAGCTGGATTTTGGTGGCCAACTATGTTTAAGGATGCTCATGCATTCATATCAAGATGTGATGCTTGCCAAAGAATGGGAAATATAAGCAAGAGGAATGAGATGCCACAGAACTTTATACTAGAAGTTGAAGTTTTTGATGTTTGGGGCATTGACTTTATGGGACCTTTCCCAACCTCTTTTGGTGACCAATACATTCTAGTGGCAGTTGATTATGTCTCAAATGGGTGGAAGCCATCGCCAGCCCTACTAATGATGCACAAGTGGTCATCAAGATGTTTAAATCCATCATTTTCCAAGGTTTGGAGTGCCTAGGATAGTCATAAGTGATGGAGGTTCACATTTCATCAACAGAATCTTTGCCAACCTTTTGAAGAAGCATGGAGTTACTCACAAAGTTGCCTCTCCTTACCACCCCCAAACTAGTGGACAAGTTGAGATCTCAAACAGAGAACTCAAGAGCATACTTCAGAAGACAACAGGCAAGACAAGAAAGGATTGGAGTGCCAAACTAGATGATGCTCTATGGGCATACCGCACTGCCTTCAAAACACCACTTGGTACCACCCCCTTTCATCTTGTTTATGGTAAAGCATGTCATTTACCTGTGGAGCTGGAGTACAAAGCAGCTTGGGCTATTAAGGAGTTGAACTTCAACCTAAAGACAGCAGGAGAAAGAAGATTGATTCAGCTAAATGAGCTTGATGAGATTAGGCATCTAGCTTATGAGAATTCAAAGATCTATAAGGAGAGAACCAAAGCTTTCCATGACCGCAAGATCATCCCAAAGAACTTCGCGCCAAACGACCAAGTTCTACTATTCAACTCAAGGTTGAAACTCTTTCCAGGAAAGCTTCGCTCAAGATGGTCAGGACCATTCAGGATTAAAGAAGTTCGCCCCTATGGAGCAGTGGTACTATGGGACCCAATGGGAGGAGACTTTACAGTCAATGGACAAAGGTTAAAACCCTACCTAGCTTCCACCACCATACCACAGGAGACCACACTAGCTCTTGGCGATCCACCAGATCCTTAAGGAAGTGCCATACAGTCAAGCTAATGACTTTAAACAAAGCGCTGAATGGGAGGCAACCCATTGAAGGTCATTTCTTTTCATTTTCTTTCTTTAATTTTCTTTTGTTTTGAATATTACCTCTCACCTTAATGTGATTTGCTTTCACCGGGACGGTGCAAGTTAAGTCTGGGGGGAGTTTTATTGTGTTACTAATGCATTTTTCTTTCTTTTCTTATGTTTTATTACTTTGTTTCATGTTTTTCAAAAAGTTTTATTGAGTCAAAAACCAGTCCGGAAGTTATGAACTTGCTTTGAGAATTGAGAGTGTTGTGCTAACAATCCATGACCCTAGAGCAGAAACCAGCTAAAGGCACAAGCCTAACAGAAGCTCTTACAGTGGATCGACATGCTAGCTCAGCAAAATTTCTAAGGTAACCAAGCAATCTAGAGTTAACCTCTCCCTTAATCAATCTTAATCACTCTTGTCAAGGGGGTTGGCATACATGTCGACAGTTCCTTGCTTGATTTTCAATAAGATTTGTCTAATCTTTAAAGAGTTCTCCTCTCTCTCCCATCCCAAATGGTAAGTGT